TAGGACTAAACCGGCAACTATTTTTGTTGACCTTTGTCCATGGAAGGTCCCTGCAAAATTTCATTGAAATTGGTTCAGGGGTTTTGGAGAAGAAGTCGAAAATGTAAATTGTTTACGGACGCACGACGGACGACGGACGACGGACGACGAACGACGGACGACGGACGACGACGGACAAAAGGAGATCGCAATAGGTCACTTGAGACTTTGTCTCAGGTGACCTAAAAAACCTTCTTTTCCAGACTCAGAGGTACTACAGTCTATTTCAGTGCATGGATAGAAAGATTATCAGGAGTTTTATTTAAATTGTCAATTTCAGCACCCCCAAACCAGGTGCGCTAAAAATGTAGGAGAAAATCTCAGGACAAAAAATCAAATACTGAAATGAACAAAGGGCAATAACTTTTGCAAAAATCGTTGAATCGAAATTCTTTTAAGGGAGACACAACTTCATATCATGATTATAATGTATACCAAGTTTCAAAGAGAACATTTAAAAAATGTAGGAGGAGATTGCCGGACAAACAAAAGTTTACGCTTGACGGCCCCATGCCATAATACTTCAGTCTTTGACAGGCCTATATCAAAAAGGGTTGGGAAAAAATACCAGGATGCACAACATCAGGCGGTTTCATATCTGAAAACTTCTGTAGAAATTGGTCCCATAGTTTTGGAGTTGTCTGGACAAATATTTTCAACAAAGGGCCATAACTTTGTAAAAAGGGTCAGAATGAAAAAAGAATACCAGGATGCAAAACTTCAGGTGGTAGGTATCATATCTGGAAAGTTTCGTTGAAAATGGTCCATTACTTTAGAAGGAGTTGTCCGGACAATCTTTTTCTACGGATGGACAGACAAAGGACGATGCGGTACGGCATAATTACATAAGCTCACTATGGTCCTTTCGGACCAGGTGAGCTAAAAATGGTCCAATGCTTTTGTCAGATTTTAAACTTGACAGTCTCCTAACATCCTGCACAGCTGACATTATCTCATTATGCTGTTAACCTTTAACATGTTTTATAAATCCCTATAAACTGTATCAACATGTTTTATAAATCCCTATAAACTGTATCAACATGTTTTATAAATCCCTGTAAACTGTATCAACATGTTTTATAAATCCCTATTAACTGTATCATAATTTATTGTCAATTTAAAGACTCTGAGAGTACAAAACATGTACACATCCTGATAACAAACAATTGAATTCAGAGAGAAAAAAAACGCATAGCAAGACAACAAACATTTTTTGTTAGAAAATATGTCAATTTAATCAGTTACAAATAAATGATATTCAACAAGTTACAACAGTTAAGATAAGTTCTGCTGTCTGTATAAAATCTGCTTCATCAGATCAATAGAAAAGACCTCAAACTTTCAAGTTTGAAACATCTACACCTACATTCTGTCCTGATTATCTAGCATACAGCTCCAGTTTACTGCCATAGCTGGCCATTGTCTCTAGATAGTCCTTCCCATCACATTCTAGCTGTGCCTCTGTAAACAGTTTGTATTTTCTTAAACATCATTTTTTCACATGATATTTTGGAAGAGGCCAACAGTTTTGCTACTTTTACCTACTGCCAAATAAAACAGCATACACAAAGGATGTCAAAATTTGTCTTTATAGTTCACGCAACAAGTCTACAGTGAAAGTAAACAACAAGTCTACAGTGAAAGTAAACAACAAGTCTTTGGAGAACAGCATTCAGTAGCAGGTACCGGTTATGTTGGAGAACAGCATTCAGTAGCAGGTACCGGTTATGTTGGAGAACAGCATTCAGTAGCAGGTACCGGTTATGTTGGAGAACAGCATTCAGTAGCAGGTACCGGTTATGTTGGAGAACAGCATTCAGTAGCAGGTACCGGTTATGTTGGAGAACAGCATTCAGTAGCAGGTACCGGTTATGTTGGAGAACAGCATTCAGTAGCAGGTACCGGTTATGTTGGAGAACAGCATTCAGTAGCAGGTACCGGTTATGTTGGAGAACAGCATTCAGTAGCAGGTACCGGTTATGTTGGAGAACAGCATTCAGTAGCAGGTACCGGTTATGTTGGAGAACAGCATTCAGTAGCAGGTACCGGTTATGTTGGAGAACAGCATTCAGTAGCAGGTACCGGTTATGTTGGAGAACAGCATTCAGTAGCAGGTACCGGTTATGTTGGAGAACAGCATTCAGTAGCAGGTACCGGTTATGTTGGAGAACAGCATTCAGTAGCAGGTACCGGTTATGTTGGAGAACAGCATTCAGTAGCAGGTACCGGTTATGTTGGAGAACAGCATTCAGTAGCAGGTACCGGTTATGTTGGAGAACAGCATTCAGTAGCAGGTACCGGTTATATGGGGGATCATTTAATTTCCCACTACAAACTACATAGTCTTGTCTACTTGGTTTGTAATTTTGCTTTTTGCTTTTTTTTTTACACAGTAACCGAGTTGTCTCCCTTATCAGCAAAAACCTCTAATAGACTTGTAAAATCAATGCACATTGCCATCATCCAGAATACTGAACATTTCCACAATTTTTAGTTATTTAAACAAGTTTATAATAAAACAATAACAAAAGAAGAATAAAACCTCAGTTTTTCTCTCGGTATCTCAACTCATCATCCACATTGAGTCACCACGACAACAAGCATCTACATTTTGTCTGACATTCACTATATACCATCCACACATTTCTTATCCAGCACTTCACTACTAACCCATCAAGATATTTCTAGTGAATTACTTCAGAAAGTACCAGCTAGACATCTGCAGTCCAGCATTATGCATTATCTAGACATCTCCGGTGAATTACTGTAGTAAACACAAGATTTAGATCTGTTGTTAAATACTGTAGTAAATACCAGATTTAGATCTGTTGTTAAAAACTGTAGTCAATACCAGATTTAGATCTGTTTTTAAAAACTGTAGTTAATACCAGATTTAGATCTGTTGTTAAAAACTGTAGTCAATACCAGATTTAGATCTGTTGTTAAATACTATAGTAAATACCGGATTTAGATCTGTTGTTAAATACTGTAGTCAATGCCAGATTTAGATCTGTTGTTAAAAACTGTAGTTAATACCAGATTTAGATCTGTTGTTAAAAACTGTAGTCAACACCAGATTTAGATCTGTTGTTAAAAACTGTAGTCAATACCAGATTTAGATCTGTTGTTAAAAACTGTAGTCAATACCAGATTTAGATCTGTTGTTAAATACTATAGTAAATACCGGATTTAGATCTGTTGTTAAATACTGTAGTCAATCCCAGATTTAGATCTGTTGTTAAAAACTGTAGTTAATACCAGATTTAGATCTGTTGTTAAAAACTGTGGTTAATACCAGATTTAGATCTGTTGTTAAATACTGCAGTCAATACCAGATTTAGATCTGTTGTTAAAAACTGTAGTCAATACCAGATTTAGATCTGTTTTTAAAAACTGTAGTTAATACCAGATTTAGATCTGTTGTTAAAAACTGTAGTCAATACCAGATTTAGATCTGTTTTTAAAAACTGTAGTTAATACCAGATTTAGATCTGTTGTTAAAAACTGTAGTCAACACCAGATTTAGATCTGTTGTTAAAAACTGTAGTTAGTACCAGATTTAGATCTGTTGTTAAATACTGTAGTAAATAACAGATTTAGATCTGTTGTTAAATACTGTAGTCAATACCAGATTTAGATCTGTTGTTAAATACTATAGTAAATACCGGATTTAGATCTGTTGTTAAATACTGTAGTCAATACCAGATTTAGATCTGTTGTTAAATACTGTAGTAAATACTAGCTGGCATCTCTTTTGAAAGTCAATACTAGCAGGACATCGCTCTTGAATATATACTTCACTTTCTTAACACTTAACAATTCCCTCTCATTTACTTTGACATAAAAAAATGAAAAAAAGTAACAAGCCAATGCTTTTTACAATGTATTCAGGATCACAGGATCTGTAGCACAGGCCCCATCCTCCGAGGTTGTCAGGAATGTCGTCACATGTTCAACCTGTCTGTAGGTTATAAACCCATACTTTCAGTGTTTTCCATGTTTGTGTTCTGTACAATCTGTTAACAACTCCTAAATGCTGTAGGAACTCTTATCAATATAAAATAAATAATCAAACAGTGATCTCTTTCTGAGAAGTAAAACAAAACATAGTTCACAGTGAAAACAGTATTGCACAAAAATGTAATAACCAAAAAAAAACTTAGTCTTACAGATATACGTCCTCAACATCTGTGGTAAAACCATACAATCTTACATACAGTTTCCTTCTAGTCTCATGTCATTCAGAATTGCCATTATTTCAAATGGATTACTGGAAACAGAGGTAGATGTAGGCTAGGATTCCTGGCCGCTGTTTTAACTAAGTGTTCGGAACACTATTCATCTCCTTCCTTATCAACATCATCTACGTCGTCACATGACATATCCTCCTCTATGATAACATCGTCCTCACCGTCGCTTGTCTCTTCTACACTAACAATGTCTCGGTTTTCATGGTCAATGTCTTTTGTTTCACTTTGATGTGGCTCCTCTGGTGTCTGTACCCATGTAACCTTTTCACTCTCATCCTCGTCCCTTCCCTTTTCATCTGACAGTTTTCCCCCCTCATCCTTGACCTTTTCTTCCTCATCCTTATCATTCACTTCTACGTCTGACGAGTCTGGTGTTACATCACGTGCAGCCTCTCCTTCCCCCTTGGTAACCATGGTATCATCATACCTACAAGAATTATTAAAAAGTAGAGATGTCTGCTTTTCATGTAAATTGCATCTTTTGCCACTGAAGCATACTTCATTTTCATTTCGACTTTTCCTTCATTTGACAAAAAGTTTCAGCATCACAATCCCATCAGTTCAGTATAACTGCAATATTTGTCCCCTTTCCATTTGCGCCTTCACTTGCAACCAACCTATTTCAAAGTCCCATTTTAATTTTTTCTTTATTGAATATATATTTCTCCCTGAATATATCACCTAACCTCTTAAAACAACAAACTTTTGCTGGACACAAGGTGGCAATGTATTAAGATTTTACTGTATTCTTATTTTATCAAATAACACACCAGCTATAGATCTTTCCTACCAACTCTTTTACATTAGTATAGATATGAGGTAATACCTAGGAGTATACTTACAGTGCTGACTCGTCCGGCAGAGTTATCAGCCCTAGATCACCCACTTCCTGGTAGGCAAGGGAAAGGGCAGCACCAGCAGAAGAGCCCACCACATACAGATCACCAGTTGGAGGATCACTTTTCTGAGGAGAGACAGGCCCAAAGGTTTTACATAGCTACATTATCATAAAATGGAGTTTGCAAGACTGATTAAGAAAGCAACCACATGATTGTTACTATATGATTATTAAGGGCTTGCATGACTGTGACTATAAATTGAGTACAGAATCTTAGTATGGAAATGGTTTCATGAATAAGGTCACAGACTGAAAGTATACCAGTGTATCTACTACTGCTCCTGTTGGTATGGAAATGGTTTTATGAATAAGGTCACAGACTGAAAGTATACCACAGTGTATCTACTATTGCTCCTGTTGGTATGGAAATGGTTTCATGAATAAGGTCACAGACTGAAAGTAGACCACAGTGTATCTACTACTGCTCCTGTTGGTATGGAAATGGTTTTATGAATAAGGTCACAGACTGAAAGTATACCACAGTGTATCTACTATTGCTCCTGTTAGTATGGAAATGGTTTCATGAATAAGGTCACAGACTGAAAGTAGACCACAGTGTATCTACTACTGCTCCTGTTAGTATGGAAATGGTTTCATGAATAAGGTCACAGAATGAAAGTACACCACAGTGTATCTACTATTGCTCCTGTTGGTATGGAAATGGTTTCATGAATAATGTCACAGAATGAAAGTATACCACAGTGTATCTACTATTGCTCCTGTTGGTATGGAAATGGTTTTATGAATAAGGTCACAGTCTGAAAGTATACCAGGGTATCTACTATTGCTCTTGTTGGTATGGAAATGGGTTCATGAATAAGGTCACAGTCTGAAAGTATACCAGGGTATCTACTATTGCTCTTGTTGGTATGGAAATGGTTTTATGAATAATGTCACAGACTGAAAGTACACCACAGGGTATCTACTATTGCTGCTGTTGGTATGGAAAGGGTTTTATGAATAAGGTCACAGATTGAAAGTACACCACAGTGTAACTACTATTGCTCCTGTTAGTATGGAGATGGTTTCATGAATAAGATCACAGACTGAAAGTACACCACAGTGTATCAACTATTGCTCCTGTTGGTATGGAAATGGTTTCATGAATAAGGTCACAGAATGAAAGTACACCACAGTGTATCTACTATTGCTCCTGTTGTAGATCTTCAGTATTTAGCGTAATGGCTGAACTTGGAGACAAAGGGTTGTCTATATGTGTGAATGTGTTTTTGGTAAGCATCATGAGATGACAGGTCTGAGTTGGATCTGCATACATAATTCAGTCACTCATGTGAAAAAAAGAAGGTAACATAACCTGCATAGAAAACATTTAGGACTTTGGGATAGACAGATGAACATCACTATTAAAGCTGTTATGGGAGACAAACTAGATGTAGATTGTTCAATGTTTTAACCTGGTCACAGTATTCCAGGCAAAGGGGAAGGCAAAGTTATCTTTAAAATTAGCTTAATGTTTCATTTCGACCCATGTCTAGTATAGTTTTCAACATTTCTGTAATTAGCCTTTTGGATGAATTGTTTAGATTTTTTGTTCAATTGAACTTTCTCAATAGTTTTGTTCAGTTAAGATTTGATCGGAACCTACCTTGAGACAGGCAATGAGCTGCTTGTTACTAATAGAAGTTATGATGGCTTCCAAGGCTTCCTTGGACCACTGTCCATCACGAGACTTGGGGCTGACCTCACTTAACGTCAATCTGACCGACTGTGCAGGCAGGCTCCCAAACCTGGATGGCAAAGCCCTCACTCTGTAACATATAAGATAGGACTTGTAAAACAGAAGCATGCTCACAAACTCTTGAGGAGTAACTAGCACTGATATGCTCTATAATAAACATCTGGTTGAAACAAGGTGTGTGTAAATAAGTGCTCATCAGGCTTACAATTACAACCATAATACAGACGTCAACGAAGGACTCACACTTACCTGTCCATTATCACACTCTAATGTACTGTAGGTGACAAATAGACAAAGACACATCTTGTGACCTAATACTCTTGATGTACCATATTAAACATACTTACCTGTTCAACGTGACATACTCTGATGTACCGTAGTTTATATAAAGAATGATGATCGCATCTCATACTTACCTGTCCACTGTGACATACTCTGATATACTGTAGTTAATATAAAGAATGATGATCACATCTCATACTTACCTGTCCACTGTGACATACTCTGATGTACCGTAGTTAATATAAAGAATGATGATGACATCTCATACTTACCTGTCCACTGTGACATACTCTGATATACTGTAGTTAATATAAAGAATGATGATGACATCTCATACTTACCTGTCCACTGTGACATACTCTGATGTACCGTAGTTAATATAAAGAATGATGATGACATCTCATACTTACCTGTCCACTGTGACATACTCTGATATACTGTAGTTAATATAAAGAATGATGATGACATCTCATACTTACCTGTCCACTGTGACATACTCTGATGTACCGTAGTTAATATAAAGAATGAGGATCACATCCCATACTTACCTGTCCACCGTGACGTACTCTGATGTACCGTAGTTAATATAAAGAATGAGGATCACATACCATACTTACCTGTCCACTGTGACATACTCTGATATACCTAGTTTATATAAAGAATGATGATCACATCTCATACTTGCCTGTCCACTGTGACATACTCTGATGTACCGTAGTTAATATAAAGAATGATGATGACATCTCATACTTACCTGTCCACTGTGACGTACTCTGATGTACCGTAGTTAATATAAAGAATGAGGATCACATACCATACTTACCTGTCCGCTGTGACATACTCTGATATACCTAGTTTATATAAAGAATGAGGATCACATCCCATACTTACCTGTCCACTGTGACATACTCTGATGTACCGTAGTTAATATAAAGAATGATGATCACATACCATACTTACCTGTCCACTGTGACATACCCTCATACTTACCTGTTCACCATGACATACTCTGATGTACCGTAGTTAATATAAAGAATGATGATCACATCCAATACTTACCTGTCCACTGTGACATACTCTTATACTTACCTGTCCACTGTGACATACTTTGATGTACCGTAGTTAATATAAAGAATGATGATCACATCTCATACTTGTCTGTCTACCGTGACGTAGTCTGATGTACCGTAGTTAATATAAAGGATGATGATCACATCTCATTCTTACCTGTCCACTGTGACATACTCTGATATACTGTAGTTAATATAAAGAATGATGATCACATCCCATACTTACCTGTCCACTGTGACATACTCTTATACTAACCTGTCCACTGTGACGTACTCTGATGTACCGTAGTTAATATAAAGAATGATGATCACATCTCATACTTGCCTGTCCACTGTGACGTACTCTGATGTACAGTAGTTAATATAAAGAATGAGGATCACATACCATACTTACCTGTCCACTGTGACATACTCTTATACTAACCTGTCCACTGTGACATACTCTGATGTATCGGAGTCAATATAAAGAATGATGATCACATACCATACTTACCTGTCCACTGTGAAATACCCTCATACTTACCTGTTCACCATGACATACTCTGATGTACCGTAGTTAATATAAAGAATGATGATCACATCCCATACTTACCTGTCCACTGTGATATACTCTTATACTTACCTGTCCACTGTGACATACTTTGATGTACCGTAGTTAATATAAAGAATGATGATCACATCTCATACTTGCCTGTCCACTGTGACATACTCTGATGTACCGTAGTTAATATAAAGAATGATGATCACATACCATACTTACCTGTCCACTGTGACATACTCTCATACTTACCTGTCCACTGTGACATACTCTGATGTACCATACTTAGTATAAAGAATGATGATCACATCTCATACTTGCCTGTCTACCGTGACGTACTCGGATGTACCGTAGTCGACATACATGACAAGGATCATGTCTGTCCTAGTGTCACGCTCCACCACTACCGCCCGGTACCAACACTGGTCGAACCAAAACTGGGCACAGCACATGAGGCCTGATGACAGAATCAATTCCCATTATAGAATTTATGCAGTGAAATCTTGTGTATATTTACAGAATAGTTTGAATGGTATTGCATACTCTAGACTGATAGTAGAATGTAAAACAAACCTCAATAGCATGTGTTGCTCAAATGTTCTTCAATGATGTCAGTAAAATAGCTTTAATGAAATACAAATAATGTATCTTGAAAGTTCAATGAAGTTACCCATGTTTTCAATATCTGTTTCTGTTATAGAAAATCTGGATAGTCCTTCATACAGGCTAATTCTTTAGGTGAAGTCGTACGACAAATTCAATTCCGGATGATGCAATTAAAACAAGAGGCCCAATGGAGCTGCATCGCTTACCTAGTATTAATCTCACACTTGTAACCTTAAAGTGAACTAAAATAAAGCTACAGGCTTAATATCATTAATATGACCAAGTCATTCAAACGTCCATGGACAAGATTAAACTCCCGTGATCTTCAAGGTTTAACAAGGTCATTAAGTTGAACAAAGGTGGTAGCCATTCATCCCAGCATGCATGCTACTTGCCAGATATGATCACCTTAGATCTTTTGATTATTGAGGAGAAGTCGTTTAACTATTTCAACATATTTGACCCCTATGACTGTTGTTTCACACATTCAATTCTGGATGTCACCATCAAAACAATTTTTATCACCCTTTTACCCTAGTTACCTAACGGCCAAATATCATTATTCTAGGTTTAATGGTTCACAAATTCATTAAAAGAGAAGCTTATACATACTTAATGTCACTCAAGAAACAGTCACTCAATGCAAAGAAGAACTTTTATACATGCAAATTTCAATTGATGACACTTTTATGACAATTTGACTGTATATCACTTTTATTGGCTGCTGATTATCATTACATGGACAATTTAAAGGTAAGATTAATTATCAAAACAAAACTTTCCTGATTTATGTGCCGTGCGACACTTTTTGTTTGGATATCATTGTCAAAGGTCTATTTTATCAAAACTGATGCTAGTTTGGAGAAAAATTTGATCAGAACCCTATTTGACTCTAAAATGTTTGTACTTTGTATAATTTTCTGCTTTTAGCCAAAATACCAAAGTGTTCCTTCCAGGGTACAGTAACGCCTGCTCAAGGGTCTACCTGACGCTGATGTTATTTTGCATTCTATTTATAGAAACACGCACCACAAATACCAACTTGTAATGGAAATGAAACGTGGATGGTATCTATTTATGAAAAATTGCCAAACAACTTTGGAATTGATAGTATGGTATAAAGTACATTAATGTTTATCTTAAAAGTGTTCTGATTTGGGTACAGTGATGTTACAGGCTAAATTTAACTAAGCATTGCGAGCAATCCATGTGTACAACATCTGGTGATAAGCAAATGGATATAACTCTGAATTAAGTGAAGCAGGAGATCCAATTATAGTATGTGACACTCTGCCATACCTAGATGTATCTGCATAAATAATTAAACAACTGAAGTGACAGAATACATGAGGTATGTCCTAGAAATATTTTCACATGAACTACTACAAACCTGAAGTCCCCTCTGAAAGTGCTACTGCCAACAAATTGCTATCGTAGTTCATTTTTAGCTTACCTGGCCCAAAGGCTTATGCCATGTTGCAGCGTCCGTCCGTCGTTCAGAGTCAATATTTACTTGAAACAACTTCTTCTCAATAACCAAAAGGCCCAGGTTACTGATATTTGGCCTGTAGCATGCTGGGATGAAGGGCTACCAAGTTGTTCAAATGAATGACCTTCACCCACTTTCAAGGTCACAGGGGTCAAATGTCTTAAAATCTTCAAACAACTTCTTCTCAATCACTAAGAGGCCTAGGATCATGATATTTGGCCAGTAACATGCTGCGTTGAAGGACTACCAAGTTTGTTCAAATGAATGACTTTGACATATATTCAAGGTCACAGGGGTCGAATATGTTTAAAACTTTTCAACGACTTCTTCTCATTAAGTAAAAGGCCAAGGGTGTTGATATTTGGCCATTAACATGTTGGGATGAAGGACTACCATGTTTGTTCAAATGAATGACCTTTGCCCATCTTCAAGGTTACAGCGGTCAATATATGTTTAAATCTTTAAATGACTTGTTCTGTATAACCAAAAGGTCCAGGGTACAGATATTTTTCAAAAAGCATGCTGGGTTGGAAGACTATAAACTCTGTTCAACCTAATGTCTTTGTTCGACATTCAAGGCCATATGTTTAAAGCTTTTAATAGGTTTCTATGAAACAATCACTGATATTCTGCCTGTAGCTGTATTTTAGTCCACTTTTAAGATTACAAGTGTGAGATTAATACCAGGTGGGCGATTCGGGCCCATTGGGCCTCTTGTTAAAATTATATTGTTTAACAAGAGGCCCAAGAGGGCCTGTATCGCTCACCTGACTATTTAAACAGTCATAGCAAAATATTCTCATTAAATATTATATTGCACTAAAAATATTTCCCTCGCAAACTTTGCTGGCTCCATCTGTTAAAACCACCAGCAAAATATTATTATAAGATTCTATGCTTTTTTATTCTTCTTCAGAAGATGCTTGACATATTTTTCCCTGTGACCTTGCAAGTAGGTCAATTTCATTTTCCTTCTCAAATTGGTTAGCTCTATTCCAAAAAGCTACCAGCCAAATCTTATGAATCCATTCTTTTTAGTTCTTAGAACAAATCCATTAAAATGTTGTCGACCTCTGTGACCTCTAAAGTAGGTTGAGGTCATTTTCATTTGCACACTTTGGTGAGCTCTATCCCAAAAAGTCACCAGCCAAATATTATAATTTTATGCCTTTTAATTCTTCAGAAGTAGTAGTTTGAACCGTTTGACATATTGGAACGCTGTGACCTTGAAAATAAGTCAAGGTCATTTTCATTCGCAAACTTTGTTTGGCTCTTTCCCAGGAAGCCACCTGCCAAATATTAAGATTTTATACCTTTCAGTTCTTCAGAAGAAGTTTTTATAAGCGTTAGACATATCTGACACCTTGAAAGTAAGTCAAGGTCACTTTCATTCGCAAACTTTGTTGAGCTCTTTACCAGGAAATAACCAGCCAAATATTAAGGTTCTATAACTTCCAGTTCTTCAGAAAAAGATGTTTGAAGTGTTTGACATATCTGCCTCATGTGACCTTAAAAGTAGGTAAAGGTCATTTTCATTCTCAAACTTTGTTGGGCTCTTTCCTAGGAAGCTACAAGCCAAATATAAAGATTCTATACCTTTCAGTTATTAAGAAGAATTCATTTGAAGCTTTTGACATATATGACCCCTGTGACCTTGAAAGTAGGTCAAACTAATTTTCATTCTCAAACTTTGTTGGGCTCTATCCCAGGAAGCCACCAGCCAAATATAAAGATTCTATACCTTTCAGTTCTTCAGAAGAAGGCGTTTGAAGTGTTTGACACATTTGACCCCAGTGACCTTGAAAGTAGGTCAAGGTAATTTTCAATCTCAAACTTTGTTAGGCTCCATCCCAGGAAGCCATCAGCTAAATATGAAGATTCTATACCTTTTAGTTCTTCAGAAGAAGTTGTTTGAAGTGTTTGACACATTTGACCCCTGTGACCTTGAAAGTTGGTCAAGGTAATTTTCATTCTCAAACTTTGTTAAGCTCCATCCCAGGAAGCCATCAGCTAAATAAGAAGATTCTATACCTTTTAGTTCTTCAGAAGAAGTTGTTTGAAGTGTTTGACATATTTGACCCCCGAGACCTTGGAAGTAGGTCAAGGTCATTTTCGCTCGCAAACTTTGTAGGGCTCCTACCAACAAAGCTTTCAGCCAAATATCATGACTCTAGGCCTGTCCGTTCCTTAGAAGAAGTTGTTTAAAGGAAAAGTTGACGGACGAGGACAGACGGACGCCGCACCATGGCATAAGCTCACTTGCCCTTCGGGCAGGTGAGCTAAAAATTCTGTGGTGATTGTGCAATCTCAATTTGGCAGCTTAAGGCAGTTGGTAATTTGTAAAATAAAGCGACATTGTCAATGTTAGCTATCATAGCTGAAAGTAGCGAACCTGGTTTTGGATTAGGTAAAGCAGCAGCCAAAGGTCCAACTTCATTCAGGTCAAAAGCAAGCTGTACTAATTTTGAGAGTTGAGCATTTATTTCATCCATGCGCTCATCCATTTCGGATCCACTTTGTCTGGTATGCTGGAAGTACACCTGTAAAACAAACCAATGATACATCATCAGGAGATAGGGCCAGGGATTTATTGCATTACCTAGTACCTCTATTTTTAGTCTAAATGTAAGCAGGATTAGAGCACTATAGACGTTGTTTACTTCACATGTAAGTAGACTTTGGCCACCATAGTATTTCAAAATTAAGGTTATTAATATCATAGAGAAAATCAGAACAAGAGGCCCAAGAGGGCCTGTATCGCTCACCTGAATATTTAAGCAGTCATAGCAAAATATTCTCATTAAATTTTATATTGCACTAAAAATATTTCCCTCGCAAACTTTGTTGGCTCCATCTGTTAAAACTACCAGCAAAATGTTATTATAAGATTCTATGCTTTTTGATTCTTCTTCAGAGGTTACTTGACATATTTTTCCCTGTGACCATGTAAGTAGGTCAATGTCATTTTCCTTTTCCAATTGGTTAGCTCTATTCCTTAAAGCTACTATATTATATATTATAATTGTATGCCTTTTAATTCTTCAGACGAAGTAGTTTGAACTATTTGACATATTTGATTGCTGTGACCTTGAAAGTAAGTCAAGGTCATTTTCATTCACAAACTTTGTTTGGCTCTTTCCCAGGAAGCCACCAGCCAAATGTAAAGATTCTATACCTTTCAGTTCTTCAGGAGAAGTCGTTGGAAGCATTTGACATATTTGACCCATGACCTTGAAAGTAGGTCAAACTAATTNAAAGATTCTATACCTTTTAGTTCTTCAGAAGAAGTTGTTTGAAGTTTTTGACATATTTGACCCCTGTGACCTTGAAAGTAGGTCAAACTAATTTTCATTCTCAAACTTTGTTGGGCACTATCCCAGGAAGCTACCAGCTAAATATAAAGATTCTATACCTTTTAGTTCTTCAGAAGAAGTTGTTTGAAGTTTTTGACATATTTGACCCCTGTGACCTTGAAAGTAGGTCAAACTAATTTTCATTCTCAAACTTTGTTGGGCACTATCCCAGGAAGCTACCAGCCAAATATAAAGATTCTATACCTTTCAGTTCTTCAGAAGATGTTGTTTAAAGGAAAAGTTGACGGACGAGGACGGACGGACGGACGGACGGACGGACGGACGACGGATGCCGCACCATGACATAAGCTCACTTGCCCTTCGGGCAGGTGAGCTAACAAAACCATCGTGCGTACAATTTTCAATCTACTTACCACATTAGGCACCTCTACATGGGTAATGTCCACTGGGAAGTACTCGCCAGGGGGCATCAGCTCTGTAGTCTTGTATGGGTTATTCTTCTGTTAAAGTGGGAAAAAAACGTGTGTACCAATCAGGACATGGATTCAATGAGCATCAGTTCAGGCTGTATGTATCATAGCTATTGTCAGAAGGTCTGTAGTCACATCTATATAGCAATGGAATGACAGCAATAAACCAGAGCTGTCGCTTGGACGGCTGACTAATACCCCTGCTTCCACCAAGTTATGAATATTTGAGTTATACTTCAAGGTATTAAGCAGGATAAATAATATTTTTGTTAAAGGGGTCAAAACTTCTAGAAAAATAACTGAATGCAAATATCCCTAGGGGCATAACAAAGGGGCATAACTCCACCAAAAAGGGTTGAAATCCCAAATTTAAATGCCGATGCATCACTACATAAAATACAGATCATTTATGCAAAGTTTCACTGAAATCCACCTGATAGTTCAGGAGGAGTTGCGCGGACAAGTATTTCGCATAAAGGGGCATAACTCCATCAAAAAGGGTCAAAATCCCAAATTAAAATGGCGGTGCACAACTACATAAGATACCGATCATTCATGCAGGGTTTCAATGTAATCCACCTGTTAGTTAAGGAGGAATTTTCCAGACAAGTTACTGCGGACGACAGACAGGGTGATTCCAGTATACCCCCCTAACTTCGTTGGGAGGGTATAATTACAAAGCTATAATTTCCAGAGAGATATGAACAATTTCAGATATTTACCAACTTTCATTACCTGAATGAGAAAACTATTCAAGTGGAAAGTGCTGATCTGAACCGACTACTTACCTCTACAGCCTTAAATATTTATAACTACATACATCTACAACCTTGGCTATTTTATAACTACATACCTCTACAACCTTGACNATCTACAACCTTGGCTATTTTATAACTACATACCTCTACAGCCTTGACTATTTATAACTACCTACCTCTACATCCTGGACTA